TGTGTGTGTGTGTGTGTGTGTGTGTGTGTGTGTGTGTGTGTGTGTGTGTGTGTGTGTAGGACCTCCTGCAACCATCATGACATCAGTTTGATGCTCAAGTTAACATCTGAGAACTTCACATCACTGACTCTGAATAACCGTGGATGAACTTTTTCTTCCCCTTCAAAGACTGAATTCACACAAAGAGACAGATTAAACACTTAAGATTCAAGATTTGTTAAAATAAAAAAATTTTTAAACATAAAAAAACTTTTCATTTATTCCAACTTTTTAAAAAAAACAAAAGAATGAAACAAACAGTATTTTCTGAGTGACTGCAGATTTTTTAAGAAGCTGAAATGGAGTTATTGTAGCTAACAGAAGCAGAACACCTGCTAAAAGCTAAAAGTAGAGAATGCTGGCTAAAAGCCAAAAGAAGCAAACACGTGCTAAAAGTAAAATAAATGCTAGCTAAAAGCTACAAGTAGTAGAGTGCTAACTAAATGCTAAAAATAGAAATATGCAAGTTAAAAGCTGAGAGTAGCAAAGTGCTAACTAAAAATCCAAACAAAGAAAAACACCTTCTAAAAGCAAAATGTAGAAAAATGCTAGCTAAAAGCTACAAGTAGCAGAGTGCTAGCTAAAAGCCAAATAAAGCAAAACACATTCTAAAAGCTAAAAGCAGACAAATGCTAGCTAAAAGCCAAAAGAAGCAAAACACCTGCTAAAAGCTAAACGTAAACGTGTTAGCCAAAAGAAGCAAGACACCTGCTAAAAGCAGAAAAATGTAGCTAAATGCTTACAGTAACAAAACATTGGCTAACAGCGAAGAGTAGCAAAACGCTAGCTAGGAGCTAAGAGTAGCAAAGGGATAGCTAGAAGCAGCAAGATGCTAGCTAACAGCTGAAAGCAATAAAAGGCAAACAAAGCTAACAGCAGAACAGTAGCTGAAATGTAAAAGTATCAGTACTCCACTATAAGCAGCAAAAAGCTAGTTAAAGCTAAAAGTCTTATACAAACAGAGCCTGTTAGCTGAAGAGATTTCATATTTAATTTGATAAAATGTTAGTAAATAAAGTTACATGTTTTTAAACATAAAGTCACAGCACRCACTCTCCTGAATGAGCCGAATGTTTTGACATGTGAACAAACCTGCAGTTTTGCTGTAATTTATTCATTTTTTAAATTTCTTTAAAGATTATTACCTGGCATCTAAAACAGTTTTCAAATATTCTCTAATCAACAAGTCATGTGAGATCAGATCTTTATTCAGCTGTAACTTTAAAACTTTCACATCACACCRCTGAGCTGCAGCTGGTTAACTTAACCAAAACATAAAGAAAAGAAGCTGAAAACTTTGTTCACAAACCAACAGCATGGCTCGGCTCCTCCTCCAGGTGCTGGAGCTTTTAGTTCTGGCTCTGGACATATTTTTAAAAGTAGTTATTTTCTCCTCTGCTTTGTGTTGACCACAGCTTTTTCTTTTTAACAACCCTGTCTCAGACTCAGTACGGAGTTTTCATTTAGCACTGCAGATGTTCAGTAAGTCTTAATGTGTTACTTTCATTAAAATCCTCCTCGCTGAGTCGCTCCTCGTTTAGGAGGTGAAAGTTGTTTCGTTTATCACCCAGTTATCACTTCCTTCTGAGTAAACGTGAATTTATCATCAACAGATTCATTAAGAGTCAAAACTGTTCTTGTGTTTTTGTCACAGATCAGTTTTTTTAAGGACTGATTTAACAGCTGACTGGTTCTCTGACTGACTGATTCACCAACAGCCTCTGAGAGGATTTCCTTCAATATTCCTCTTCCGTCCTGAACGACCCCTCCTCTCTGACCCACTTTGCCTCCTCAAAAGCCCAGACCGGGTCCTAATCATCCCCGGAGTCAGCCAAAACTGCATTCAGCACGAAGAACAATAGTCTGATTATCACTGTTTCTGCAGACAATAACAACAGTAACTCACAGACAGAACACYTGACCCGGGTCACAGGCCCGTCTGGACGAAGAACGTTCAGGTTCAAAGTGTCGTTTCACCGTTAAACAACTGTCGTTAAAACGTTTTATGTCTACTTAAAAACATAAATAAATAAATAAAGAGGAGGTGGATGATGAAATAACGTGCATGGTAGGGCTGCACGATATTGGAAAAACCGAATGATTGTTTCCAACCCTGTAATATGAAAACATAAAGGAGTTTTTACACTTAAAGTTCTGCTGCCATCGTGTTGACGATGAACTGATTATTCTTGTTATATTTTAGTGTGCTGGGACTTACATGTTTCCTTTTATCTTGTGATTTGTGCTTTGCCACCTGACATGTTGTCCATCTTAGTTTCTGTTTCCGTCACACTTTAAAATTAGCATTCATGCTAACCGTATTTCACCTCTTTTCCTCCAGTTTTAGCTTCGACACGAAGCCACTCGCCTTCACCAGCTGAGGCAACCCGTCAAAATAAAAGCTGTAACACAAGACCGTTTAGTGCTATGGTTTAGTGCAGGGGTGTCCAAAGTGTGGCCCCGGGGCCATTTGTGGCCCCTGAACTGATTTTGTGTGGCCGCTGACTTCAGTTCAAGAATTACACTAATTTGTTTACAATTTGTCCCCCCCGGCACAGCTATTTGATGTAGATGGGGACTTTCTTTTTATTATTGGCGTAAAATTTTATAATAAAAAATATTGGCAACAATACCAATTATTTGTCTTTAAATAACCAGACTCTTAGCTTTTTCACATCTACCAATGAGTTCTACAGAAAAGCTGATTTTGCTGCCCTCCAATCTGCTTTTAATCAATTTATTAAATTTGTCTGAATACAGCAAGCATTTTCAACAAAAGAGTGACCTAAAACCCTGATTTTATTGATCAGAATTGACTAAATTGTGTTATTTTTCCCCCCAATTGAAACCTAAAAAATTGCAAAATTTCTTTCAATAAGAGAAACCTGCAAAAAACTTTTAAAGTTCTGGATCTAGATTAATTTACGCATCCATTTCCAGCAATAAATCTGACTACTTTATCTGTTTAATTAAAGTAAGTAATCAATGCTTAGTTTATTGTTGAGCAGAAAAAGGAAAAATATTTTTGGCCCTCAAGTCCTTCTGACTTTATGATTATGGCCCATGTGACAAAATGTTTGGACACCCCAGGTTTGGTGGTTTAGTCTCCAGATAACACCTTGATTTAATTTGCCTCCTTCACTGCAGGACCTGCAGTGTGACTATTGAGCACACGTGCATTGTGATGATGATGCTCAAACGATACATCYTGCAGCTCTAAAGCACAGCCTAACGTGCACGTTCTTGTGGATTTGCAGGCGATGTTTTCTGTCTCAGGGTGCCTGCAGGGATTTTCTCCAACAGAAACCAAACACTGCACAGCTCCCAGCCGTCATAAAGGAACTGTGTGAGCTTCAGATTCTAAAAACAGGACATTAACTTCGGTCACGCTGCACAACGAAAGGTTTAATGGAAGCTGGACTGGACTAATTTTGGACAACCACTTGACACAACTTCCTCCTTTTGTTGGTATTAGTTATCATCTTTGGTAGTGAGAGTGATGATGAATCAACTCAACGACCACAGACCAGCGATTCAAGGAAGAATAAAGATTTACTAACAAGAAAAGATTTTGTCCACAATGAATGTAAACCCAGTTTAACGCAGAAATCCAAGGTTTTCCTGCTTCACCTTGATTTATTTCCAGCATTTCTATTTTTCTGTGGAATATTCTGAATCTGATCTTAAATTAAGCAACTTTATTCTGAAATTTTACAGTTTTAGATGGAGTTTTCAGCAGATTGTTYAATGTTTGTCTTAAAGGTGATTTTTAATTTTAATTTCAGGTCTTGTTCTAATTCTCTGTTGTGTTGTTCCGTCTCGACTGCTGTGAAGTTTTAATTAACTAAGTTTTTAATAAATTATCTTTTCAAAAAATGTTTTCAGTTAAAAAAAAATTGTTAAGACTTTCTGCAGCACATCTGGCTGTGACATCGCTAACCTGAAACACGCGAGTCAGGATGTGGTCACACACACACACACACACACACACACACACACACACACACACACACACACACACACACACAGGAAACCCTGGATTTACTTACAAACCCTTCAGTTACCCGACCACACAAATACACAACTGCAGCTTTTTCACTGACTCACACAACCAGACCCAGACCCTGGTACTTACATGTGTGTCATGATCTTGTGCAGGAAGACGCCGTCCACCAGCTCCATGTACATGCTGACCCGCTCCTCTGAGCCCACGTCGTCGGGCGAGCCCAGCGGGCCCAGCGTCTTCACCTGGAGACGGAGACAGGASACACTGAAATAGACAGACACACTCTGAGCGCTGCAGACACAGTCTGAACTGAAGGCCCGGTTCTGAAGCRGCCTCACAGGAAGTTCTTCTAATCTGAGCTCAATCTGACAGAAGCTAGTAACAAAACTACACGGTCCCATGTTAGACTGGTTTATGARGTCCAATAACCTTAAAYAGCTGTGCAAAAGTCCTGATCCATGCAGCAACTTGAGGTCAAGTTCTGCAGAGAAACAGCAGCTTTCTCATCATCTTAAAGCAGCTCGCTCATTTCCTTCAGTCTTTTTGGTGCACACATCACTCAAGGGTTGAAGGTTTATGAGAAGTTATGAAACATGGAGTTTGCTGCAGATTTGATGAAACTTAAAGACYCGTTGGTTGAAATGATCCACAGATCAGTTGAAGCTGCATTAAATCAGTGTTGCATAAAGTACCTCAAAGTGATACTTGAGTAAAAGTACAAGTATCTTTTCATAAATTTACTTTGCTAAGTTAAAGTCTCCTCTAAGAATGTTACTTGAGTAAAAGTCTTAAAAGTATCTAAAAAATTTTTTGTACTTAAGTATTAAAAGTTAATTTCTGACATAAAATGTACTTAAGTAATAAAAGTAAAAGTATTGAGTGAAAATGAGCAGTTAGATTTTCCAAAATGACATTTACTGGGAGGTGACATCCCAAAAAAACACTTCTCTAAAGTTGTGCAGCTGTGATGGATTGTACAAACTAATACTGAGTCAGAATGATATATATTTATACTTCTAATCTGAAGGTCAACTTWTTCATTTTTAATGTCAAAATGACTAATAAAAGTAATTATTTGATCAGTTTGTCAGCATTACACTATGTACAAGCTTAAATTAGGCTTCTGGTCCATTTTTTTTAATTTCAACTTCAACATTGATGTTTTTATAAGTTTCATAAMTTGGMATAAGATGTCTAAAACCTTAAAGTGTGACAGAGCCTTTACTACAATTAATTCACTCTATCCAGGAGGCAAAATTCAACAACAACAACAACAACAACAACAACAACAACAACAACAACAACAACCAGCTGGAATGAAATAGGAGTAACGACTTTCTACTTCTTGCCTTTTTAAAAAATGTATCAAGTAAAAAGTACAGATAATTGTGTGAAAATGTAATAAGTAGAAGTAAAAAAGTTGACTGAAAAATAATTACTCAAGTAAAGTACAGATAACCAAAATTTCCACTTAAGTACAGTAAAGTATTTGTACTTCGTTACTTTACAACTCTGCATTAAAAACACTGAAATGTCAAACGGAGGCGTTCAAACGTAAAGAACGAACGTGAACTCAGACAAACCAGAAATACTGAAGYTAAATCACTTTGACATATGATGATTTATAAAACTTCATTAACTCCGTGAACATTCCTACGCTTTTTAAAACCTGAAAACCTGCACTTCAACAAAATAAAGACCTYTAGTTTCTTTAAGGAATAAACCTGCAAACATAAAGAAATTGGYGAGGATCAAAGTTTTAATGCAGAACTCCGGTAAGTCCTGCTTTTTTGGTTTAGGATCAGTAAAATATTTAATGCGATGCATTGAGGTTATCACAGATGATGGAGCCAAAGCACAGAAATGGGTCATTTTGTAATTTCCCTCTTGTTTTTTGTTTACTCTCCTTCTCCACATTAAATATAAAAATAGATTAGTAGACATAGTCAGCTTTAAACTCTTATTTAAATCATTATTCTGGTGTTAAAGACGCAAAAAGCAGAAAACCTCGAAGACAAAGTTCGATGTAAAAGCGTAGCTGAAGCAGAAAGTTCTGCTGGCTGCGAGTCGGACCAAATTACAGAGGGTGAAATAACAGATTCAAAAAGTCACAACGGCACGTTAAATTCTGTTAACCTCTACTTTCCTCAGAGGAACGCCCTGCTCAGGGACAAAGCTTTCATTTTTCTCATCCGAACAGGTTTTCTTGACATTTATTTCAGTAACAAACTGATTGTACTTTAAACTTATTGAGATAAAGTCGGGAGAAAGTTGTGCTTCCCATTAACGCGTGGACGGATCACTGGTGTTTGTGTTTACCAAAGACTAGCTGACCCGGTCAGGTCAACAGGATGTGAGGTCACGGAGAAACAGGAAGTTGTACGAGGTTAATAAGATCAACAGGCTGAAAAGAGAAAGGCGCAGAAGTGTTTACAAGCAAACTTTTCAATGGAGAAAACCCAAACACTCACATCCCGTTGGATCTGATGAAACTTTTCCAAGCTTTTTAACTTTTGACACGATTCTTTGTGATTCAATCGGCAGCAAATCGTCACAGTTTCCCTCAAACCACAAAAAGAGGTTTAAAATAGAAAATGTAAAAGGACTGGCATCTCGCCCGCTGAGGGGATYGAGCTGCTCTTGTGACGTTATGCCCTCAGATTTGTTAGGGATGACTCTTAGCTACTACCACACCAAACTGCATCACATTATCTGTAAAATTAACTGTTTTACAGCCTTTTTATTGATGTGTTTGCTTGACTGTGGCGGCCWTCTTGATTAATGAAACTAAATAAGGTTTGTAAGGAAGTTATTGCTGTTTTAAGACTATATACTARATTTCTATTAGAACGTGTTAGCAAAATATCTCATGATTCTCAGGTAATGTACATCAAGATAACTAGCACAGAGATTAGCCATTTTATTTTTTTTACACATTCAAATTTTACAGATATTGAGCTAAAACTGTGTGGTAGTAGATGAGACTGATACCCAACACAAACTCTGAGCACTAACACACATGTAGGATATTTGTGTCAAACTTTGCCATTATAATTTGTAGTCTTTTTTTTTTTTTGCTAACAAACTCTGTTAACTCAAAGTGATTAAACTCAAAGTTTAGCACTTGTTGGGGATGACTCTCAGCTACTACCACACTAATTTGTATCAAAATAAATGTAAAACTCAATGAATTATAGTTACTTTTGTGTTTACTAAAATCAGTACGCTGTGGCGGCCATCTTGAATCGGGTTGACTCCAAAAGTTTARTAGTTGTAGRTGAATATTTAGTGACAACTTCCTGAAAGTTTCGTTCAAATCCGTCCAGGGGTTCAGGAGATATTTTGCTAACAGACACACCCCCATAAAGAGGAGTTTGTTTAAATCAGATGCACCTGACGGGGAGGTGAAAAGGAGCACCTCCTCCTCTTCCTCACTCACCCAGACCACCAGCGGAGACTCCATGAAGGAGGCCAACAGCTCCGACAGGGTCACGTCCATGATGCTGCTCCCTGCGATCGCTCATCAATTCACCGATCGATCCGTCGATATCCGCGGGAGAACAAAGCCCCCGCGAGGCATCGGTCCTCCTCCTCCTCCTCCACGAGCACACTCTCTCACACACTATTGTCTCGCGCTGTTCCGAGTTTCCGCAGAAAGCTGCAGCGAAACGTGGAAAAATTGTTTAAAAAATACTCTAAAACACTTCAGAAYTTATCCATGACAGTCTTCCGGCGCCTCGAATGTGTTTTCACGGTCGAACCGAAGCTAATCTTTCTTTTGCCGTCTCGCGGACAAAACACTTGATTCGAACTTCGCAGGARAGTTGACTCTCCGTCACCAAGGAGACGCAACCCGAACCGTAAAGCGCCGAAACCGCCGCGAAGTGAATAAACATTTTTCAAAAGTTGACGGAAACATTAAAAAACATTTTTAAAAAAGAGTTGAGAAAAGGAGTGAAGCTAGCTGCTGTCGCCCGCTGCTGCATCTGCTGCACCAGCTCCAACTCTGGCCATCAACCTGAGAAGCCAGAGGCGCAGCGAGGCGGAGAACTGACAGGAGTCCCGACCAATCAGCGWATGCGGCACCGCCTTTCCTTTTGACAAACCATCCAATCAAAAGAGTGTGGCGTCACTCCCCACGCAGAGCAGCGGCCAAAGAGTATACTCAGAACAAGATAATCATGTATAGACAAAAGAGAAAGTCCACACCTGCTAATATTCTTTTTCCCCCACCTTTATTTATTTACATTTATACAGATAATCCTGTTTCAAGTTAACATACAAGAATGTACTACTACTACTTTTGTCCATGTGGACTGTCGCAAAGAATTAATAAATTAATCAACTTATATTCAGAGATTTATAGAAACTAAGTACATTTACATGTTTACAGTACTTAAGTAACTTTGAGGATTTGTATTTTACAAAGTATTTTTAAATCATTACTTTCACTTTTATTTCGTTACATTTAAAACCTAAAATTGATACCTTTACATCTTTAAAATTAGCATTTAATTACTCTTTGCAAAATTAAATATGACCAAACTCATCATGAAAAGAGTTGTTTATTCGCTCTAAAAAAATTTAAGTGTTGAATTTACTCAACCAAGTCAACTGGTTTCACTAAACCTAGTAGAGTAAATATGAGGCACAAATATTTTCTCTACTTGGTTTAGTGGAACCAGTTTGGTTAACCCATTAACAGACATCCCTGAAATTCCTTAAAAGCCTTTTGACATTTTTCAGGGGTAAGAAATGGAGGAAGCTGTCTAACACCCTAGTCCACACACACAAAAAAAAGCCCCTGGTAAAATCTGGAAATAATTAAAAGGCAGAAACCGTACCATTTGTGCCTTACGGTGGAACAAAGACTGTTAAGGGCTTCAGCAAATTCTACAGGTTATTTCTTAGAGAGTGTATAAAAGTACTTTTACTTTCCCAAATTTTATGAACAGTTTTTTGACTTTTACTTAAGTATTTTTCTCATCAGTTAAATTTATTTTTACCAAAGTCATTTTCTGTTGAGGTATTTTTACTTATACTTAGTTATTTTTTTCCCAAGTACTTTAAAGACCTCTGCTTATATTCAAATATTTACTATTTATGCCACTTTCTGGAGACCATAAAATGCCTAAACTTTGACATCGTGGAAATATTTCAATGTCAGACAGACAGCGATAATTTTTTGTGTGTTTAATCGGTTTTCAGCTGTTAGCCGCAAACAGCTAACGGTTGCCAATGACTAAAAGATGGTCTATATGTTTATACTAGAGTATGAGGCTTTGTGCGATCAGCTGATTTAAGAGATTTTATTTGATAAATAAGCCTTTACAAACATTAAATCTTTAAAAGAYAAGGCTATATGTTTTAACAGTAAAACTCACCTGCTTTTCCGGTTAAGTTAGTGTTAATAGTTTTTCATCTGTTGCAGCAAAAAAATTATATATTTTTTGGCTTTTCGTTTAAATCGAATTACAACAGCTGTTCAGTTTTGTTATGTGACATTTTTCTTGTTGTCCAACAAACCCTTTGTTTGCAGATAACAATCTTGTTCCAGCCATCTTTGATTGCTCTTCAAAGGATTTGAGAAAGAAAGCAAAGATCAGTTCAGGTCAAAGYTTAAATGCAAATCACCTGCTACTAATGATTGCAGGCTTACAACCTCTTCCCTCCTCAACCTCCACTCCACGTTAAGACGTGGGGGGAAAAAACTAAAATTTATAGAAATTCTTAGACACAGCTTCGAGATTGTTTAAAAAAAAAAGTCCCATAAAGAAAAGAGAACGTCCTCCGAAATAGTCAAACACCGCCACCTTGTGTTGAAAATCTGTTATTACAACTTTTATTCTGGAAGCTGCAGAAAATGTGAATTTATTCATTTTTTTGTAGTTTCTCATTGCCATCTACTGCTCCTATATTACGTGTTGATTGTAAACATACACAAAGTAAAAAAAAATGCTACTCTCATGTGCATCAAATAACATGAAGGGGAACAACCAGCTCAGGTGTCATCATCTTACCTGAGGAGGATGTGACACCTGAGCTGCTGCAGACAAAACCAAGCAGCCGGTAATTTTCTAATCAAACATCTATTTATTTATTTATTTATTTATTGTGAATATCAAAACAAAAACAAGTGGCGTCAATGGAAGGAGTTTACATTCAATACAGTGAGTTCCGCTTAGCCCCGACTCCCTCGTCCCTCCGGACCAAAAAGCAGGGAGGTTAGGAGTGAAAGCTGCAGTTCTATTGGTGCTTTCCAAACTTTAGAAATCTATAATCAATATTACAAATATATAAAGGCTCTACACAGTGGTGTCAGGTCTACTTCACGTCAGAATAATACTTCACTGTTAATCAGTGACAGGCGAACATTCACACACATACACACCAACACACACTCACTAAATTTCAGCAATACAGCTGATTAAAAGCAACAACAAAAGTACTTTTTTTTCTCCTCCTTCAGCCTGCAAGGCTCTGAGGTCTACAAATGTGTTCAGAAGGACAAGAAGTGCTCCGTGTTCAGTTTTAGTGTTTTTCTGACAGCCAGTCGATCACTGCTTTAAATCTGAGTATCTTATATTTTCAGAATGTCACCCCTTTCCGACCTCCAGTTTTGGTTTCAAAGCCAGACCCTGAACCAGTGCTCGACCTTTCGATGTATTTCAAACAAACTCGGAGCCAGCACCAGCAAAACGAACCAGACTGAACATCTTTCCATGCAGGTTTTTAATTTAAAACAATCATTGCTGATTTAAAGAGCAACCTGGTTCTGTAGCAAGCAGGTGGCGCTAGAGGCTGCGGTCCAAAAGGAAGTAAAACACAAAGGTATTTTACTGAAAACTAAAGACAGATTTAAAAGACAGAGAAAACCCCCAAATTGTGACTTTTAGAGTTTTATGTTAATTATTACCATCTCAAATATCAGGGATTTGATTTTCAATTACTTTAATCAATTTTCAAATATAATAAGGCATTTTAAATCAATTTCCAAGCTCAGAGTTACTTTTCAGCTCCTTATTGAGAAGCTAGAAACTTTAAATGAAACAAAACATGACAAGAATTGTTTTTTTRCCTCACAATTATAAATCACAGAATTCCTGTATCGTGATATCATCACATATCAAATATGGTGTTACCCTCTGGTGTCCACCACCTCTYCTGATTTTCTAATTCTAATATATTAAGGTATTTTAAATCATTTTTCTGGCTCCTTGTAGGGGACACAAAACACGTAACATGGCAGCAAAAAAATGTTCTCGTTACAAATATCACAGAATTCCTGTATCGTGATATTATCGCGTATCAAGTATCGTGGATTATCCACCTCTACTGATGCTCCAACGATTAAGATAAGGCTTTTAAAATAAACTTCTGCTCCTTGTAAGGAAGCTAAACACACACAGGCAGCGGAAAAAGCTCACCACCTAAAATTATCACAGAATTCCTGTATCGTGATATTATCGCATGTCAAATATCACGATTCCTCCCTGTGATTTCCATCACGCGTATCGATACTGTAATTATTATAATGGGGTGTCATCGCTACGTCTTGGCTCCTTGTAGGGGAGCGAAACACGTGACACAAAACGTAACATGGCAGCACAGTTATCACAGATTTCCTGTATCGTGATATTATRGCGTATCAAATATCARGATTTCTCTGATTATAACACATTTTCTGTCTGGTGTATCAAATATCGTGAGTTAGCCTGTTCCTAGTGTTTGCTCTGCGTTGGGTGCTATTCACAAATATCTCGATGCATCATCATCAACATCATCATCATCATCATCATCATCATCATCACTGTCTGATGAATCAGAACCACGGAAAACTCAAACCAGGAGCTTCAGGAAAAAGAACCTCAGAGCACAACGGTCACTGTTCGACATTTACAGAGGCCTAATGTTAAAACAAACTGGTAACAGGTCTYGACTGGAACCAGAACTTGGTCTGGGTCGGTCAAAAAGGGGTTTGAGATAATGGCAGCTTCACAAATACATTGATTTTATATTTTGTTTCCACAACATGAACAAGATCAGGGATGCTGCTATAAAAATTAGACCCAAATCTGAGGGAATTTAAGGCATTTGTTTGTATAAATGTAGTGATTATGATCTTTTAGAATAAAAAAAAAATAAAACAAAAACAGACTGAGAATGAAGGAGGTGAAATGTAATTGTGTGATTGAAGGTTCAGGTTTGATATGCTTCAACTATTTAACAAAAGACATAAAATCAGAAAGACGTCACAYTAACTATACAGGATTAAAACAAAAGTTGAATGATTTTAAATAAAATGAATGCTTTAAGGCATAATTTATTGTTTTACTCAAAAATAAAAGCACATTTTCGGTTTCTTCAAATGGCACTTTGAGTCCGGACATGTTACTTTATCGAAATAAAGTTTTATTTTTAAACAGTTTGTCAGCTTTAAGAGTCTTTTGAAAGATTTAAGACGCTGAAATCAAACCAAACGTGACTCAAAGTGATTAAAGGCAGCGGATGAATCTGAAACATCTGGAAAATGTAGCGTTTTCCTAATTTTCCATTTCTTCCACGTCTCAAACCATTAAAAAAACCTTGATTCCATCCTTTAAATATACAGGCTTGTTCGTCTGTTTTTACCTGAGAAATCTAATATTTTCACATCATTTTTTATGTTTTGATTTGTGTAAAATTTTAACTTCATATCATGATTTTTGATTTTACAGATTCATTTAGAATATTTCCCCCATCTTCAAACAACTATATTACAACTTACAGGTTTGTGTCTTGGGCTTTTTTGTAAAATGACAASGTAATGTTGGGATTTTAGGACTTCTAGTGCAATATTTTACCTTCATACTTCAAACTCTACAGATCTTTGTCGTGACGTCGGGCCTAACGTGAGCCTCATCAGTGTAAAACCTACGCACGTTCTTTATTATCCAGTTCATCAGGTCTGCAGAAATGTGCGCCCCGTGGTTTGTGTGTGTGTGTGTGTGTTTGTGTGTGTTTTCCAGGTGAGTTGTGTGTCTCAGCGCAGCCAGGAGCAGGGCACCCACTGAGGCTCAGTGTCCAGTTTGTTGATGAGTCGCAGCAGCTCACTGTAAGCCTTGTCCTGGTCCTGGTTGACGATGATGGCGTCGAACAGGTGGCCGCAGCTCTGCTCCATCTCCCGTGCCTTCTCGATGATGTCCCGCAGTTCCTCGGGCTGCGGAGGACGAACGCATCAATAAAGAAATAAATAAACTAAATAAATAAATATGGCAGGGTTTTGCTTGTTTTTTAAAAAGCAGAGAGACGTAAACCTTGGGGTTCTTGTTGTCTTTCGCCAGCAGAGCTCTTAGTCGTTCCTGGGAAGGAGGAGCGATGAAGATGATGTACGGCTTCAGGTCAGGGCACCTCAGAACCTTCAGAGCCTGAAGGGAAGAACAAAAACAAAAACAAATATAAAAGACGTTTCAAATTGTTTCCTGTTTTCTATTTCTGTTAACTTAAGATCTGTCATAAAAACAGTTTAAACGTTAAAACTAAAAGTTATCTAAATATTCAATTCAAATTCCCATTCATTATTTTTCAAAGGTGTTTTTATTTATTTTCAATTCATAATTTTATGATCAACTGATTAACCTCCCGTGATCTGCACAGCTTCGCCTCCTTCGCCTCTCCAGGAAGTGTTTACAAGTTCTGCCTTTCCCAAAAAGGCAGTTTTATAACTGCTTTCACCAAGTCGTCGTATCGCACCGCGCGCTCGTATTCCTAAACAAAAGCAGCTCTCTCCAGGACGAAATTTGCTGTCAATCAATCCAAGATTTAATCCACGGGCAGAATTCTGCTGACGTCAAAATCGTAAGCGTGCTGTACTCGCTTCTACCCGCTTAGAACCACCGGAGAGGAGGTTCTGAGACAGCACGGCTGTGGAGAGCGCTTGGAGACACATTGGGCCGAGACAGAGCCAAGTCGAACTGCGTACTGTGTCGAGGCTGTCACTGTTAACAGTGAACACCAGAGGGCGCAAATTAACAGCTTAGTTAGAGTTGTGTTTTGGTCTGTTTACCTCTGTTGATGTTCACCCCGGTGCCATACCGGAACCCAGTTTCGGTACCCAACCCTATTAAAAACCTAAGATTTCTTAACCTTTATTGATGGTCCAGAATGTGCAGAATGACCCCCGAATATTTGCACAGGTAATGTTAACACGTGTACTTATGGTTTCCAAGAGGTTTTAGTCTGAATCAACATTTTTTTCTAAAAGAGTTTTAAACTGTATGATGCAAAAAAAKAACTTCAGGTGAGGGGAAATATATAGCGCTGCCGTGAGCTCCGCCTTACCTGCGTGTGCAGACAGAGCACGCAGATTTTCCCAGTGTTGATGACCTGCCTGACGGAGTCCGTGCTGGTTCCGTACAGGTTCCTCTCAGACTCTCTGAACTCGATTAGCTTCCCTGAGAGGACAAATGGAACAGAACGAGACGCTCGTAAAGCTGTGCTCAACTGATCATCATTTATAAAAGCAGAAAATGACAGCAGTGATGGAGAATACAGTCTGGTACACACCTGGTATTTACGCAGTATAAGCCCCCCCACACACACATTTCTTTTAACCAAATAGTGGGTAAAAATCCTAAAACCAAACAAAAACTCTGCAGTGAAATAAAAAACGATTTGTAAATGATCAAAGGTTTTATCAAACAGAACAATAGTGGAGCATCTTTAGACCGTCTTAGCTCCCAGACATAAATTAACTAAACATTTGTAGAAAATAATAAAGACTTTGTTTCACAGGAGCTGCTTTTCCAGCCTGAAGCAGAAATAAAATGAACGGAAAGCCTGAGATAAACCGTCCAAATCCAGACAGAATACTTCTAAAAATGAGATTTAGTGTTTTGACCCAAACATAAAGAAAGACAAGTCTGTGTCTGCACGACTGTCTGTCTTTTTTGCTTTGTTTTTTCTTTGGAGCCATTCATCCGATTTCCCTTCCAGTGAGCGAACGCATCACTGGAGCTACGAGACAAAGCCGCCAGCAGCTCGTTAGTGACTCAGACTTTTTAAGCAGCTCCGTGTTCGTTAACTCTCTGAGACCTGAGGCCGTAAACTAATGTTTTCATTCCTTTAAACACTTTCTGACCTTGAGACTCCTGGATGAAAGGTCTTCAGCAACAAAAACAAAAACAAAAAAAAAAAGTGTTATTTTCTGTGATTAATATAAACGTCTCAGAGACACAAAGTCTTACCAGATGCCAGCTCCGCCTCGAAAACCTGACGGGTGACAAAATGATAATCTCGGCCGTTGACTTCACCGTCTCTGCGACTCCTCGTGGTGTCTACAGAGCAACATGAATGAAATTAAAAGAATCGAAACAGCAGATGAGTCTTTTTTTGTTTGTTGTAAAGGAGAGTTTCTTACGAGACACAGCTCCAGCATAGCGTTCCGGTTGGTTGTTAAGGAGTCTCTGTCTAAGCTCCGCCTGCCCACAGCCGGGTGGACCAATCAGAGCGATGGGACGCTTCCTGTTGGCCGGCTGGTGATACAGAGCCATCTCCTCGTAGGTGAGAATTTCCTCATCGAGATCTGGACCGAAGCAGAAAGATGCGAGAAAATAAACAGGAAACAAATTTACTCGTTTTTTTTCTCCAACTTTAAATAAAAAACAAACAGATGTGAACCAGCAGGTAAAGAGGACGTACCATCACCCCTGTGAGAGTTGTACAGTAACTTCTTCCTCTTCCTCTTGTTCTTCTTCGCGCACCAAAGCTTCCCTTTTAACCAAACAAACAGAAATTTAGGGCAACGAGTCTTAGCTGTGATGCTATCTTTAACTTTTCTTTCATTTTTTCAACCGAACTTGAAGATCAAGAGTTATTTGTGACTGACCGGACTTTTCAGGCTCCTTTTCTTCTTCGATGGTTTGTTTCATGGCCTCTCTCTGCTGCTGGAAGCTTTTCCCTGTTAAAAACAGCAGGAGAAAATGATCAGAATCGATCCATTTTATCCACGCAGGAGTCCGATCGAAGATCCGAGGCACGGAGCAGTACCAGGGACAAGTCCGGCTAGCGGCTGGTTGTCTTCGTCTCCGTCCCGGTACGCCTGCCACCAGTTCGGGTCCGTCTGACTGAAGATGTGGAGAATGTCTCCTTTCTGGAAAGATAAGCCCAGCTCTCTGCACGGCACGTARGGGTCATCGGAGGGGTCGTAGTCGAAGTGGGCCTTCACGTGGACCTGAAGGGGATGAGATGACAGATTTACTGAAAGCTGAACATCTGGAAGGTTTTAAATCATCACGGTTGTCAAAGAAGTTTATGAAACGGTTAATAACGGAAGGATGAGTTTCCAGTGTAAATGCTGAGCGCTAATTGATGAAATTTCATTTAGCACTGATTTAAAGCAAATAAAACAGAAGATGAAAATCAGTAAAACCACAGCTAAAAGCTAAAAACAGCATACCCTTAAATAAAATTTCAAAGGATAAAAAAAATTAAGCTAAAAATCTAAAATCAGCAACACCACAACCAAAAAGGAAAAATCATGAATAAATGCTAAAATGCTGCGAATAAATATAAATAATAAACTAATCAAAAACTGGCAAAATTGAAGCTAAAATTAGCTAAATGTAGTTTAAAGCTAAAGTTAATCCTTAACTAAAAGCTAAATGTAGCAAAACTAGTTTTAAGCAAAAATTAACACAATTGTAGCTAACCTGAGCAAAACCATAACAGTATATTTAGTAAATTAGTAGTTAAAAGTAGGTAAAAAAATTAAAAAGTAGGTAAAAGTTAAATATGGAAAAATGTAAATAAAAGCTAAAATGATCTAGATTGCTGCTAAAATTTGCAAAACCATAGCTAAGAGCTATATGTGGCAAAGTGTTAGCTAAAAACAATAATGTGCAAAATAGTATGTAAAAGCTAAAACGTTAAAAAAATGTAACTCAAAAGACACAAGTAGAAAAAACATCACTGTAAACGAAAATTAGCAAGACAGGAGCTAAACGCWAAAATGAACAAAGCCTAAGCTAAAAGCTAAATGTAGCAAAACTGTAGCGCAAATGTGAAAAAGCACAGATAACAACTTTAAGCTGAAAACCTGTTGTCAAATCAAAGTGAGCAAGATAGTAGCTAAAAGGTAAACTGAACAAAAAACAAAAATAAAGCAGGTTTAGGAGAATACAGCTAAAAACAAAATGTGCAAAATAGAAGGTCAAAGCTAAAATGTGAAAAAATGTAACTAAAAGCTACATGTTGAAAAACTGTAGCTGTCAACTAAATTAGCCASARAGTAGCTAAAAGCTAAAATGATCAACCTTAGCTAAAGGCTAAATGTAACAAAAAAAGCTAAAATGAACAAAATTGTAGCTACAATGAGCAAAACCATAACTAAAAACTATAAGTAGAAAAACTATTGCTGTGAATTAAAATGAGCAAGATAGTAGCTAAAAGCTAAAACGAACAGAATAAAACTAGAGCAGGTTTGCTACAGCAGGTTTCAGGGGATGTTTTCTCGATGTTCGTCTTTGGAGGAAATGAAAAGGTCAACAATACAAAAAGAATAAAAGTTATTTTTGTACACGAATGAATAAAACACGCTGGGAGCAGGACTCACCACCGTCTCTTTGACAGGAGGTTTGCTCTGATTGCTGGGAATTAACACAAAGGTCAGGAGGCCGTGCATGTCCGCCTGTTACACAAAAACACACACAATGTCACACAAAAGCGCTGAACAATAGGTACCATTATTCCCTTTTTAAACCCACTTTGTACTTTTGATGCTCTGCTTCATTTGTTAAAACCAACAGAAGTCCATCAATACAAAGAAAATCCAGATTATTTAATCTGCAGATAAATCACGGAGCCATCCAGCACTCTGAAATACTAACTAAAATGTCGAAGACTTGGTTGACGTCTTTCCCTCTGATCTCCACATTGTTGATCTCCAGGATTTCGTCTCCTTCTGATAAAAGTCCGCTGCGTTCGGCTGCTCCTCCTCGAACGATGCGGCTGATCACAACGCTGTCCATTTCATTACGAACTGTTGCTCCCTGCAGAAAAACATGCACGCACGCACGCACGCACGCACACACACACACACACACAGAGATGAGCGAGACAACAATTGTTACACACTAAGACAAAAACTGTCTGGATCAAATCAATCAATCCTGAAGGTTTTTAAAAATGTTGCTCTCTTTGAAGTCGGCCTCAGCTAGTCTGCCTACGTTGGTCATCTTCTACCTCTAGCCTTCAGCTGCTGTTCTGCTACTTTTTTAGGCAAACCTTTATGCTTTTAGCAAGGCTTTCTGCTTCTAGGTACATGTTCTGCTACTTTAAGCAAATATTCTGCTTTTAGTTTTTAGATAGCTTTCAGACTACTTTTATTTAGACTTTTCTCATTTACCACTTTTAGCTAACATTTTGTTAAGCGTACCATTTAGCTAATGTTTTGATTCTTTTATTTTTTTAGCTTGTGTTCTGCTAATTAGGGTTTAGATAACCTTTTTAAGTTTTCAGCTAGTGTTTTCCAAATTTTAACTTCTAGGTACTGATTTAGATATTTTTTGTTTTTATAGGTGGCCTTCTGCTACTTTTAGCTAGCCTTTAAGCTACTATTTTAGCTCTTTTGGCTGATAGCTAGCATTCTGCTTCTCCTAGCTAGCGTTCTGCTTCTCCTAGCTAGCGTTCTGCTTCTCCTAGCTAGCGTTCTGCTTCTCCTAGCTAAGCGTTCTGCTTCTCCTAGCTAGCGTTCTGCTTCTCCTAGCTAGCGTTCTGCTTCTCCTAGCTAGCGTTCTGCTTCTCCT